CCTTCTTATAAGCACTCTTAGCAGAGTAAAGTTTAAGAGTACCTGCCATCTCTAACCTTATGTCTTGCTTCTTCCCACTTGTTTTTGGCATCCCAGCTACACTTCCCTTCTGTCTTCAGCACACAGCTTTAGCAGAGCTTAGCTATTTTTTTTACAATTTCTGCATTTTTTATTAGCTTCAACAGACACAAAATTACCCAGAAGATTGCTACAAAGGTTTCTAAATGCCTGCTTTCAGTTTCTGCACTTAACTTGTCCTACTCCAGTAATGGCTCCAGAACACCCCTAGAATAGTAGCACTGCAGAAGCACCATCACCAGAGGAGAGTCCTGAGCACGGATGGTGCTCACATCTGTGCACAGGTGTGATGGTGAATCTTTGCCAACTTGACAGGAGTTAGAATTACCTAAGAGACACACCCAGGAGTATGTCCATGAGAGTGTTTCCAGAAAGTTTTTTTTTTTCCAAAAACTAAACTTATTTCTCACATAACTAAGCTGTATCCACACACAAAGCTCAAACATAGAGAAATAAAAATATGTTTAAAACTCAATATAGGGGCTGGAGAGATGGCTAAGCAGTTAAGAGCACTGACTGCTCTTGCAGAGGACCTGGGTTCAATTCCCAGCACCCACATGGTGGCTACAAACTGTCCTTAACTCCAGTTCCGTGGGAATCCGTCGCCCTCTTCCGACCTCCGCGGCATTGCATGACATGGGCACACTCACATACATGCAGGCAATGTACTCATACACATAAAATAAAAATACTAAATAAAATATATTTTAAAAAAGAATAAGCTTGGTTTTTTTTAAAAAAAAAAAACTCAATATAGCAAAATTTCAAACAGCTGACAGCTAATACCCATCAGTGAGAGAAGGAATGTGAAGATTTCTATCTTGAGGAAATAATCCATCAAAACCAATGCAGAAGTGACCAAAATTCTGTAATTAGCAGAGCAGGACATTAAGAAGTTTTAAATTTTTAGTTAACAAATATTACATATGCTTATAGTGTCCAAAGTGATGCTTTGAAATGTGTTTGCATTGTGGAATAGCACTATTGTACTGACACCCATATTGCTTCCTTATTTTGTGATGAAACACTTAAAATATACTTTTAATGATCTTCAAGGACATGATATATTTTTAGTACCTACAGTGAAAATGATGTAAAACAGATCTCTTGAAATTATTCCTTTTAGGGGCTGGAGAGCTGGCTCAGTGGTTAAGAACACTGGTTGTTCTTGCAGAAGACCCAGGTTCAAATCCCAGCACCCACATGGCAGCTAACAATTGTCTGTAACTCCAGTCCAGGGGCTCCGAAGGCCTCTTCTGTCCTCCGTGGACATTGCACAACATGGGTTCACTTACCTACATGCAGGCAATACACGCATACACATAAAATAAAAATAATAAAGCCAGGCCTGGTGGCTCTGGCCTGTTGTCCCAGCACTTGGGAGGCAGAGGCAGGCAAATCTCTGTGAGTTCAAGTCCAGCCTGGTCTCCATAGTGAGTTTCAGACCAGCTGGGGCTGCAGGGAGACCCTGTCTCAAAAAGACCAAAAAATAAATAATAAAAATTAAAAAAACAAATTATTCCTTTTATATTTTGACTGACTGCACATCTTTGTATCCCCACCAGTGAAGGGTGATACTCAATGCTTTATATTGAAAACTGTCCATTTCAGGCTTTG